TTATTGAAAGAAGAAAAAGGTGCGTTCATTTTATTTCATAATTTTCAAAATTTAATTGATGATTCAGCTACAATTAATGTTTAGGTAGAGAAAATAACAGATAAAATATAAACTTTTACCTTAAAAAAATATTGATATTTATTCAGGAGATTGTAAAGGTTGTGCAAATTAAATATAAAAACTGAAAGGTGAAATAAAATAAAAATACTTTATTAAAACATCCAATATTTTGTGTACAACAGGCTTGTAATGCTTATTAAAAGCTTGCCAAATTTTATCAAAATATACTTGGTATGTTTGTAATTATAATAAACATATTTTGGCTCATCAACATCATTACAAAAAAGTAGGTCTACAGTGTTTCATCTACCAATGGTAAAAAAAGACAGTGCTCAGATGTAAGTACTAAATTACTTGATTTTGTTTATGTATTTTTTATTTATCAGTAACTAAAATGTAAAAATTAGAAACTGAAGTATTAGACAAGGAAACTTAAATGAAAAACCAGAAATATTCCTTGTGATAATTAATTTCCTAGCACACACACACACACATATATAAAATTGTATAATTCTAATTCAATCATAGGATGCTTGTAACTCAATCAACTGTTTACGCAAAGCTATCCAACTATGATAAATGGCTTTTGGCATACTCTGAGGGGGGCTTAAGTGCAAATGAAAGTAACTAAGCTAAATGAACCCAGGTTTAAAAAAGTCTCTTAGCTTCAGCTCTAAGAATAAATAGTGTAATTGTCTGTTACAATACACAATCATTCTTTAAAAAAAGGAGGTAATTTAGATTTATTTCATATTCTGGAACCTTTAACTTTACCCTACATTTCTCGTTTCACTACAGTTACTCTTAAGGTTCTTGTACAGCATACAGTTTATCCATGTCTGAGACAAGCATATCACAGTGGGAAAACATTACCGGATTCCCACACATTCATCTTCTGTGTGCACTTGTTGCCTAGTGTACTAAGTCTGGTTAAAAATTTCTTTTTCATCACAAAATCTTTCACCTTAAAAGTATGTATTTTAAAACAAAAATGATATATAATTTGCTAAAATAGAATGTCCAAACACAACTATAATTTGTCTTTTCAGACTAAGATATAATTAGGTTATAATTCCATGAGTGCCAACTTTGCTTATTGACAAGTTACAAAATGATGACTTTTCCATAACATATATTGCTACTTATTTAAACAAGGCCATTCTAAGCTTGAAAACACTATTCATTTATTTATTTTATTTTAAATGAATTAATTATACTATCATTCACAAGGACTGATGAACCAGGAAGTTAGATTTTTGTTCCCAGAGCAGGTCATGTAACTACAGTGTTAACAGGAGAAAACTACAACAGTGATCCTAAGAACTCAGGAGTGAAAGCCAACAAGGTCTTTTCCCAATACTTACAGAGTTACATTAAAAACATAACAAACCCTATGGTGATGACTTAGCTATTCTGTGCGTGTCACAATTTTTAAAATTTCACAGATACACTTTCAATATTTAATTAAACAAGTTTATTATTAATATATGTCAATAAAATTAGCATAAGAATGTAGTTTATAATTCAATTTTTTTATATTATTTAAGTATTAATTATTTAATTTCAAAACAAATTAAAAAAATTCTCAATTCTCACAGTCATGTGTGAGGACTCTCAATTTTCCAATTTATTTAGTATAACTCCATTAGCCTAACACGCATGTCGTCTGTTATGTAGATACAATCTATAAATAATTCCAAGGTCAACTGTACAGTTGTTCTTTACTTTCTAAACAGTTTTCAAAACTTCATCTTCTTGTTTGATGCATTTGTTTATAACCAATTGACATAAGAAAGGATGTTAGTAATATGCCTAATCCTGAGCACTGTATGGAAAATACTGGATATTAATTATGTAGGAATTAATTATATTAAGACAAATATCAATTATAGAAACAGATAAGACCCTGGGACCCCATAATTGTTTTTCCAAAGTTTTAAAGAAGGCAAAAGATCAGATATTTAAGCTTCTCTATTATGTTATTTGGTCTATTGACAGTGAAGTGAAGAAACATGCCTGAATATTGGACATTTACTAGCATTACTCTTAATGTTATAGAGGGGCTTGTAAGAACTGCCATGGAAATTATAAGCCAGTTAGTCTTCTGTTGTAGGAAAAAAATCTAGAGAATCTGAGAAACAAAATTTTACAAAATCATATACTTAAATATCCTCAGGGAAAGCCAACATGGATTCACTCAAGGAAATTCTTGTCTTACTAATATGATGTTAACTTTTTTTATAATGATGGAGAGGGTGTGGAGTTAAGTGTACTTATTAGATTATTAAGAAGTTTCTGACACCAAAGATTAGCTAAATAAATCACATCAGTTGAGGTTGAATTGAAGGATGGTTAGGTGAAAGGAAGAAAACAGTTTTATTAATGGAGTCCAGTAAGACTGGAATTTTATTACTAGTGGTGCACCTCAGGAGTAAGTGCTTGGGCCTTTAATTTATTTACAATATTGACATTTACAAGGGCATAATTAGTAAAGTTAAATATTTCTAACTATAATGAAGATGTTTAGGTGCTATAGAGCAGCATGAATTAATTGGCAATTAAATTGAACAAACAATTGGCAAATTACCTTAATTCTAGTAAATGCAATGTAATGTATTTGAGTAACAATCTGAATCACACATGCAATATACAGTATACAGAAACCCACTTCAGAGTATAGCATAGAAAAGTAACTCAAGCCATCAAGATAGTGCTCTGTTTCTAATAATAAAGCTAGCAGATGCATTATTTAAAATCTGGAGCTGGGTGTTTCACCCAGCTATTTTTTACCATTGCATTTAGCTATTTTCACTTGTAGATTTTAGATCTTTTTCAAATTTCTAAAATTTAACTGAATGTTCCATCCTTTAAAGTTTGCCATGAATTAGACAACTTTTTAGCACATCAGTAATTTTCCATGCATAACATGTGTCTGTTATTCAATTTGGTTTGTGTTGAACTTTGTGCAAAGCTACACAAGGACTATCTGTGCTATCCATCCCTAATTTAGCAGTGTTAGACTAGAGGGAAGGCAACTACTCAACATCTCCCCCTATTAACTCTTGGGCTAAGCTTTTCCAACAAATAATGGGATTTACTATCATATTATAATGCCACCATCACTGAAAAAGTGAGTATGTTCAATGACGGGGAATCGAAACCATGACCCTCAGTTTTCAGGTTGAGTGCCCTAACCACCAGGCCATGCCAAGCCCTGTTATTCAGTACTGTTTGACTACAAATAAACACTGTGTTGTTTAGAAGGTCATGAATTAACTTAGTAGATGTTAACATCCAGTCTGTTTAACCATTTAATCTTAAAGCTCACTTCACAATACAGATTATCAAATGCCACAGATGCAAAAGGTGGACCATATAATACTGAATATTCAATAAATACTGTAAGTGAACAAGCCTCATCTTGCTCAATCAAAGGTAAATGATTGAGAATTATCTGTCCTAAGAGGAAAATGATGCCTACATTTGAGGAAAACTAGTAAAAAAAAACCACAGGATCTATTGGTTTCATTCCTTTTGAGTTGTTAAAACCAGTTACTGATTTGGGGGGGGGGGGACGTTATCCCCTGTGGCTCCAACTGTGGCAGGACCCCCAAACTTCCTTGTACTTTACAATATTTTCCTACTCTATGAATTACACATACACACCTGATGGGCAGAAATTAAGGTGAACAGTACTAATACACATGTATAGTTATAAGTCATAAATGGTAATTATCTTTATACAAATCACTAGTTCAGCCTTATCTCTAGGTTTGCAGTACACCTTAAAATACTAGAGAAGTGAGGTATTAAGGGAACATTTTAGTGCTGTGACTCAAGGAACTGTTATCATGGAGTTGTGTCTGGATTTTTTTTTTATGTGTTTAACTTTGCACTTCTTTTTGCTCTTGTTAACATAATTTGTACTTTGAAAAACTTGAAAATGGCATTTTAAAAATAGAGAACTCAGGTGATAGAAGAGTCGCCAAAAATGGTCCGTGATATGAGACTGTGAAGCAGCCTAGGGAAACCTTCCCCAAGATTTTTGTCTTTAATCATTGACAAAAATAGCTGCCTATGATCTTAATCTAGCCACAGGTTCATGGAAAATCAAAATCAGGGATGTCTCACAATAATGTTACAATATGTCAATCATACTACATCTGATATATCCAGTGCCCTATAGTAAAGCTCATCAGGTAAGCTGGAATATGAAAGATCCAGTAATTACTTATCAACAATGACTGTTAGGGTGTGAATCAGATCAAGCAAGTGAATTATAATTATTATCAATTTTATTTACATCATTTACAAATAAGATATTTTGGCAAGAATTAAGAACACAATATTTTAGTTATTCCAAGTGATTTAACCTCATAGAGAAACACCGACACTCAGCACTTACTTGAATAAAAATATTTGTAGTAGAAACTCAAACATTATTTTTACTCATGCTTAGATGTACTGTGTCATGTTTTTAAAAAAGAAAGTTGTAATAAAATTTTCAAAACAGATAATAACATTCCCAATGTTTTTATTTAATATTATGAGAAGCATGAACTTAAATGTTTTCTTCTCTTTTGCTTTTAGGTAGTGGAATTTTTGAAGGACTAAAATAGTGAAAGATGTTTTTTTATGACTAGGAGTTTATGATGTAATTGGACTGTTATCAGAATATATATTCTGAAGTAGTAAAAGATTACTACCAATTTGTGTAAGTAACTGTTCCCATTTTTATTTTTAGGCTTCTGGAAACAAAGTCAGTCGTCATTCTGTATTATGTGGTAGTCAAAATATTGTCCTAAATGGCAAAGTAAGTAGAAATTTTTAAACTGTTGTTTTTGGGTGTCTTTTTTTTGGAGAAATTTGACCATTACAAAACAGAAATTCAATATGTGGATTGTTTCTTTTTACCTGAATCAATCAGATTTTGAACTTACCCTTTACTAAACTTCTTAAAAGGAGGTCGAATAACTGCTCGTCTACCAACAACACAATGTCGACCTACTCTAACATTTGCAAGGTCTCCACGAATGATGCATTCTGACTGGATAATAGTCTAGAAAATGATACATGAAGAATTCTAAAACTTTCAGTATATTCCCAGTCAATGTTTTAGTCTTCAATTACTCTTAATGTTCAGAGAATTTAGATTATCCCAAAATTAAAATTTAAGTTCAACTTTTTCAATGTATTTTATATTAAGTAACTATCACTTATTACCAAGCAATACAATTTTGTGTATTAAATAAATACATAAAGTTACTTTTTATCTTCAAAACTTATCCATTTTCATTTCTACACACCAAATAAAAATTTGAGCAACAGTATCAAAAGACACCCAAAAACAGCAGTTTAAAAATTTCTACTTACTTTGCCATTTGGAACAATATTAGCAACAGTATCTTTGTTTTTATTAGTTTACAAGTTCCATTGCTGTTCATCTGTCATAATTAACTCTTTCACTGCTAACTCAGTGGATTACACCAACAACATGACCTGAAGAGTTTCCATAATATAACTTTTAACATCTTCATAAAATTTTTCAAGATATTAATAAACATTATGAGTCTTTTGTAGACAGAAAAAAAATCAGTATTTTTAATTAAATATTTTTACTAAAAATGTATCTGTGAATATATGGAGTTGGAGTGTTGACTGCTCTGATTACAAAGTGATTTTCATGTTAAGATTAAAAATACTTATCTGTGATGCAATTTTAACCTTGCTAAACACAAACTGTGATGCAATTTTTATTATGACAAACATGCAACCTGGAGCCATTACATGAATACTTCTCTTCATACACCTCATAAAGGTCATTAATTTCAGTTTGGTTATAACACTGCTTAACAAAAAACAAGCTATATCTAAATTATGGCTTGATTTTTTTTATTTTAGAAAAGGTTAGGCTAAGCTGAAGCAACAGAAGCAAGGGGTCAAGAATCCTGGATCCAAGATTAGAATGGAACCAACCACCTAATACATAAGAGCTGTGATATAAGAGTGCTTCCTAGGCATCACCATTGTAAAAGTGAATGACTAATGTTGAGGAGTGTCAGAACCTCTTGAGAAGTCAGGAACATGGATACATGAATTTGTAATCTAAATGAACCATGAAAGTACTTTTTTTAAATATGCATATTTTACATGGGCCTTGGTTATTGTCATAATGACGAAAATGAAAAACACTGTGGAACACTTGTACCAAAATTGCATAGTTTGATTAAGAGAAAAGTCAAACTAATATAGTTAGAATCAAAGTTATAACTGAAATGTTTAAGCTTTTTCTTTTCTTTCTCATAATCAGTAAACAAAGAGAAGAAAGATTATACCATGAATGATAACGAAAGCTTAAATAAATAAGTGCAAGTATTCCTTTATTCCTAATCAAAAATTCATCTGAATAAAACAGTGCAGAAGAAAAGAATGAGCTTTTGTAGAAACACTAGTGCTCCTGAGGTTTATCGTGCATGAAGGATTTGCCACCATTCTATTGGTGGAACTATTGTTTATTTGTTATGAAATCCTAAACAATTAACAGCCAAGGATGTTAAATGGTCCCACTGGAAACCGTGCTGTATGACATCAATAATGAGTTCTCGTGGGGAGAGATATATTAACTACATTACATGGCATCTCACTGTACTATGGGATTACAAGCAATGATTACATTAGAAAAAAAGAATATAAATTCTGTCACTAAGCAAAGCTCCTTAGTTAACATATGTAATCATCCAAGTCTAGTTAGTTAACCAGGAGTCTGCACCACCCTGATACTAGCAGCACTCTCCACTATGACCCAAACTTCAGTTTTACTGGAACAAATGTCTCTCCCTCACTATATTAAGGTCTGGAACTTAAGTTACAGGACTGATGAAGTCAATAAATTAAGTTAGATAATGAAATTAACCTTTGATGTACTAAATTAAGTTGCAAAGCTGTATCGTACCTGATGACGCCATGTTAACAGTGGCAAAACGTTGTTTTTAAATTTTTTTTTTTCTATCCCATTTTAGTTGTTTTTTGAATTTTAAAATTTTGTACAGTTTGGGATACTTCTAACATTTATATCTATCTTGAAATGTTTCTATTTAATAGAGATTGTGTATTAACTACTACTTAAGTATAACTACTAATTTTATAGTTGGAAATCTAAATGAAATTCTTGAAGAATTAAACAAAAATTATGTTGAGTTTGTGAATTCTAATGCTATCTCTTGTTTCTCACATAACCTTCCTTGAGTTGGTGTATTAAAAACAAAACAAAAAACCTGCATTTTCATGGTATTTTAAATGTATACTGGGTTGTTACTTCACATAAAACAATCTGCTCAATTTGTGTATGAACATAGAAATTTAAGTTTAGCAATATGTTTATTTAACTCTCTCAGCAGACAGATCAAAGGGTGCATATTACAATATTTTAGTATTTTCAAAATTTAATTAAAGAGCTTTAATATCATTGCAAGTTAATAAAATTGACATCATAAAATAGTATATAATTCAAATTTTAATATATGTTTTAATTCAAAAGAAAATAAAGAAAAAATGTCAAATATGCTTTTTTTGTGTGTCATATGGTATGTCTTCTTGTCATATTGCTGAGTTTATATTTGATTATGTCTACCATATAACATTTATGGTAGTTAACAAATTAGAAACTCAAACTTCAGATATTTACAACCTAGAAAACATAATTAAAACCTCCCACCTTTTTGATTTTGCAAAACTACAAGGATAGCCCTGCCCATTGCTCCAATCATTTGAAACCTCTTGTCTACTCACACCTACTTCTCTTACGTACCTATTTATACCCAATAAAAACAGCATATTCCAAATATATAAAGCTGACAGTTGCTTGTAATTGGCCTGAAGGGGAAACTTGTACATGACTGGAAATTTTAAAACATGTTCAGAAGTCTTTTCTCTGAACAGAAATGAGATTTTTTTAAACCTAATAAAGCTTAGTTAGAATGCCAGATAAATTAGTGGTTTTATATATATGCTAATATACTAATTTGATAAATTTTTTATGTTCTAAAATGCATCCTTGAAATCTACAAAAATTGCTTCTCTCTCCATTGGAGAGAAGAAACAAGGCTTAGCAAGTATGATGCGAGAGCACAAATCAATTATGTAACATCATAATTACTAGAAATCACTGTTTTTCTATATGTATATTTATTTTTTACTGTGTTATATTTTAAGAAAAATAACTCAAAATTAAGCATTTATGAGTAAATAGTAATAAAATATGTGTTCATAGGCACTTACACACTTTGTACACCTATACTGCTAAATTCTGACTATTCCAGATATCTAACAACTTTATTGGATCAGACCGAACTTTGTACAGAGCCATATCATAAACATTTTCTCACATTTTCAGTACTTTAGACAATTCTCGTTATAACCACTATTCTATAAACAATCCGATAAATCTTCTCCACTGTGTTTTCTGAGCCAGAGTTACTATAAACTTTGTGAGAAAAATCTGATAATTGCACCACACAAGCATATTTACTACTGATGGTGTTGTATAAAGGTGTCATGTAAACAGTCTAATGGCAGGAGTGGTGATTCATTGCTTTATGATCGGCAGGTTTCTATTTCAGCTGTTAACAGTAAAATAAACATAGGAAATAGATGAAAAAAGGTTAAAAGTAGAAACTCTCAGGGAAAGTACTTTGGAACTTTGTGGTTGATACTAAAGAGGTTAGGACAGTACTACTCATGTTATTTTGCATTTTTCAACCTTTAAAGTTTTATGGTGGTTACGAAGGAGATTAAATTGATTGACCCTGCATACAGTTAGGGTAGAGAAAATAACACATAAAATATAAAGTTTTTAGTTTGTGTTTAACAAGGGTAAAATTGCATCACAGTTTGTGTTTAACAAGGGTAAAATTGCATCACAGTTTGTGTTTAACAAGGGTAAAATTGAATCACAGTTTGTGTTT